AGTCAACTCTCATAACAAGGAGCTGAGCCTGGGCCAATCGCAGGCCAAAGGTTGCCAAAACGTGTTCAATTAAGGCAAATGCTGGAAGGCGGTCAATCAGGCTGCTTCTGCGTCTTTGCTGTTTCTTTGGCCACAAACCCAGCCTGCACGTCTTTCGGGGGAGCATTCCGCACAGCTTTCGTCCTGAGCGCACCACCTGGTTTGTGGAACTTTTTTGTGCTCAATGAAACGCTGTTAAAGTTAACTTGTTTAAGGTTTTTCTTTTAACACAGGTCTGAAGCAGATGTACAAGATGGGCCTAGAGCACATGCCAGGCTGCAAGGCGGCCATCACTGGCTGTGTGCGTGGTCTGTGCGAGTCTGTGTGCGTGCGCGTGTACACACACATCAAAAGAATCCAGGAGCCAACCTGAAGAGACTCCCTCTCACTGAGCAAAGAAGCTACAATTTGAGTTAAAAATAGATAAAAATAGAAATGGATTAGAACCCATCAAATATGCTTAACTCCATGAGTTCTTAATATATAAGGTATAAATAAAAAACTTTAAATGCTTATATTCTAAGGATGACAGAGAACTAACTCATTATCTTGAAAACTCAGTATTGTATGTAAGAGCAAAGGATCAAACACTTATGCTGTCCTTCCTCTATGAACTGCACCACTGGGTAACCAGTTATGTAGAGAAACATGGCTTAGAAAACCACTCTGGCCAACAAATGCAAGCAAAATGGTACCATTAGAATATCGCCATTTTGCAACTCACAAATAACTAATGGCTCTTGGTCTGAGTATCAGTAGCTGTCAACACCGAAAGAATCCTGGATAAAAGCATCTAACCCCTCTCTCTTGCCAAAGGTATCAAACCTGAGTCTGGTCAAGCCTCTGGGTCCAGCTGCAGGGAACGCTGAACTGCACCACGAGAACGTGATCAGCAAAATCCAAACTGTGGCAAGTAACAGGACAAATGGCCCAGGTTCTTCAACAGATGAACTACAGGGAAGACAGTGAGATGCAGGGGAACTGCCAATTAAGAGAGACTTAAGACATGTCAAGTTAAAAAAAAAAAAAGTGGACAAGACTAAACTGCCATCAAGAAATGCAAGGAAGTCACTCAGCTGTACACTTAAAAATGGTAAGATGGTAAATTTTATATATATATATATAAAACCTCAATAAAAATAAATGGAAAAGAAATGCAAGGAAGTCATTTCTATAAAACTCAGAATTACTTTCGGAGGGGGTGGGGTGTTATAGGGGGGCACCTGGAGCACCTGGCAAAGGGTGGCCTCCCACCAAGGCGGTGGATACAAGGGTATTCCCCTCACAATAATCGTTCAATAAGCTACATACTTGTGTCATTTCCTATATGTTTTTATTTATGATTAAAAGGTCTGAAACTAAATAATTATGTCAAACACTTTTTTAAAACCTGCACAGTATTTTTAACAAAAAAAGCCAAAGAAATTTTTGCAAGATTTACTTATGCATCTTGGTCTTTAAAAGTCTTAACTCCCCCTTCAGAGTGGACTCGTAGCCAGGGTGGCCTGTGTGCAGTCTTTGAAACCTACACGTAAGTGCCCAGCAAGCAGGCAAGCGGGCTGAGACTCAGCTCACGCCGTCCCTGCTGGGCTGCCTGCCCTGACCCTGGCTGCATCCTTCTCTAACGTGCACACAGGCACAAGTCACTGTACAAGCAGGAGACTCAATGCTGCAAACTGGAAGATAAATGAACACTTTTAGAATGCGTCTAGACTTCCTGTCTGTATCTTTTAGTCAATGTTTTATTGATTCCTTATCAAAACCAAAGCCGTGACATTTGGGGCCAGACTGCAATAAAACAAGCAAGAACAGTATCGATAAACGTAAAGCTGAAATCTCACACAATTCTCAAATCTCAAAGATGTTCAATTTATTATACAGGTAACCACTTCACATCACAGAAAGGCCCCGTGCCTCCCCGGTTCGGTGTGAGAGCCAGGTCTGCCCGTGTGCTGCAACGGTCCAGCCTGCGGTCTTCTCTTCCGTGCAAGGACAGGTAGCGACACAGCCACTGGCCCAAGTTTCCTCAAGTACCAAAGTCACTTCGCTCCATCTTCAGATCGCTTAGCTCCTTCTCTTGCTAACCTATCAGCTTCTTCATTGCCTACAAATCCTGCGTGACCAGGAACATGCATCTGTTAAAACAAATAAATTTTTCCCCTTTATTTTTCCTAATTTTTACACAAGCAACATAGGACTATATTCTCATTGCAAAAAAAACTGAACCATTCAGAGCAGACTGAGCAGTCCCGCTCTCCTCTGCAGCTCCCCTTCCCCAACAGGATTCCGAACAGCACGACACATGTTCTCAAAGCATTTATGCAATGATGTATTTACAAAAATTCCATTGTTTTTCTACAAATTAGATTTTACTGTTCGCATTGCTTTTTTTCCCCACTTAGCAATGGAACTTGGCAAGCTCTCCAGACAAAACACATGTGTGTACAGATGGGTGGATGTATATATATACAACACACACTTTACTCTCTTTAAATGCTGTTGAAAAGAATGGATGCACTTATTTAACTATTGTTTCCATTTACGCTGCTGAAATTTACATGTCAGGTTACCAAACTGTTACCAGTGGTCCTGGGAAGGCACACAAGGTGGGGTCGAGACCATGGTTGCAGTTTATCTTGCTTTGTATTGCTTGAAAAAAACTTTTTAATAAAAATGATTTATTATTTTTAGAAGTTTCCATTTTGTAATAAAAGTTGTGTTACTAAGGCTTTATCACAGAACCTTATGATAGTTTTATTTAACATTATGGCTCATTCCAAACACACTAACAGGCTGACTCACAGCTCCCTTTACTAGTGACGAGGTACGTCTGGGAGAGGCATCACCACGCAACTAAGACTACGGAGCATCCCTCAGATCATACTGCCCGCGTAGTCTACACCCAGTAACACTTTCCTTACAATAGTGCTACTCATACGGTCATCAAAAAAATCAAGTGTGTTTTAATATATGGTAATAATTCCATGGAAACTGTGGTATCATTAATCACTTCTGTAAACCATCAATCGCTAGTAAGTCTGCACTATCTGGTCACAACGGCCGTGACACTCACCCACTGAATGTCCATACCCTGGGCGAGCTTCTCCAGCGCCACGAAGTCCTCTTTGTTGATCACCTCCTTCCCAGTACTCGTCTTCCACCCGTTCTTCTTCCAGCCTTGAACCCAGTTAGTCATACCTACAGGGACGCACGTGCACTGCAGAGTCACTCTCGAGTGTCCCGGCCTTTTCACCTCCCCAGTCTGACCCCTCACAACTGCTCCCACTTGTATCTGAAGTCGCTGTCCTGGACTCTTCACTTCCTCGGTTGGCCTTCGTTGCTCTGGCCTTCGGCACAGCCTGAAATCCCCAAGACTCTTCCCTTTCCTAGCTTGCATTCAACCTACAGCTCTCAGCTTAAGATGTCACTTCCTCCAGGAAGCCTTCCCCAGCTCATAACCACCCTCCCATGCGCTCCTACACACGGCATCACATTTAGTCTAGAAGTGCCACGAGAGCAGAGGCACACCCACTCGTGACCGCATCTCCAGTACCCAACGGAGAAATAAGCACGTGGGAAACACGGGAGCAGCAGAACTGAGACTCCAAAATCCTTTTCTTTGCACCTGACCAGCCAAACGTCATCCCCATTACCATGTGGGACCTGCGCTGTTACAGCACCTCCTACTGGGGAAAGAAATACCCGTTTCCCTTCGTAGTCACCAGAAAAACACCAAGAAATAAAACGTGAAAACTTACCATTTATAGTAAACATACTGTCCGTATACAAAACCAGTTTACTGATGTTTTGAGCCTTTGCTTGTTCAATGGCTTTGCAGGCTGCCTTGAAAAAACAAGTTGATAGTCATGCTACAGAAAATGTTCAACTTTGACATTACTGATGCTCAAAATTATTCAAAATTGAAAAATCCACCCTCTTTGCACCCTTCCTTTCGCTCTTTTCCTGCTGTGACGGTGGGTCTGGTCGTCATCTGTGGCGAATGTACCACACGCTGTAAACCTGTGTCTTGCTCTTGCCCTGTAATCCTATCTTTCTCTCCTCAGTAAACCTCATTTTCATGCCTGCCTTAAAAAAAGAAAAATCCCTTTTTTCTGTACTGTGATTACATTCTCTA